TTTTTTTATTAGCATCATGTATTCTGGCTTTTCTTGATGTAAACTGCATTTTTTCAAATCCAATCAGAATCTTAATATGATCAATTTGCATATATCGGGCGATTCGAAGCAACTGTCGTGTTTGCAAATAATTGGTAAATGAAATGTTTTTGTTGAAAATCACGATGGAGATATCGAATGTTTAAACTATTTAAATCATCGAGGCGGAGCTTGAAGTTCAATGTGAAATACAATTTATTCAAAATATATCAAGTTTAATGGCAAGTGGCAACAAATCGATATGAATTATGAGTCAACAAAACTGCGTACAGAAAACAGCTGCATTGAAGGTAAACCAATTATAAAGTAATTGAGTCAATCGAAATTCAGAAATAGTCTCTTTGCTCCGCCTTTATTATTCGCATTCATTTATTTCCATAGCGATTTTTGGCCAAAGCAGTTACAATGTCAAATCACTTGCATCCACGTTAGATTTTATCAAATCACCCATATATCTCAATATACACACAAATGCCCTTCTAACTTGGCCATGGCCAAATTAGTATAAATTCCACATAATTGAGAGAACTTTTCAAACTGCATCTTCATTCAGACGGGCTCGGTGCTTTTGAGTGAAAAGACGTTCGACTGTGTGCTTCAAATAAGGAAAACCTGTTCAAACATGTTGATATTAACTCACGTGAAATGGCAATTCAAAGTGATCGGTGTTATTCCTATACCAAAACATCGTTTACCAATAAAATTACAAAAATATCAACCGATAATTAATTGGGCACATGTCATTGTTATATCTATTTTGTTGATATTTTCTCACGTGCCTTCATTGTATTTTTTCTTATTTGAAGCCAAAACGTTCTCCGAATATTCCGAGTCAGGTCTATTGGTGGCAGGTACATTTATGGGTACCGCTTTTTATTTCCTTCTAATTTGGAAGCGATTTGAAATCCAAAATCTTCTAGATGATTTGGAAAAAGCTATTACAAAACGTGAGTTCATGTTAATTCGTGTATTAAAATTATTCAGAGAATACTCTGAACTGGATCCATGAAGCTATCTGAAAATATAGAAGTGATTACTGATACTGTAATAACTTCTATTTTTTTCACTACATTTATTTGATGAAAATATCCGATATTTCCATATAGCTTGATGGATTCAGAGTAGTCTCTGAAATTTTTACTTAAGACTAATTTACATCTCAAGGAACTTAATATTGTTCACTTAAATTCGTGATGAAACCGTTTTTTTGTTTTGCAATGGTCTAAAGGTGTAAATTAGTTTTTTATGTAATGTTATTCTTATTGAGGTGTATTTCTATTACTCAAATCACAATTTGTCTTCTTTTATGTATGTGATGTTATTTATCGAAATCTTTTTTTAGATGAAGAAAATCCACTCACTCGCACCATTTATTCGGAAAAGAGTGAAATGTCTGAGAAATTTTCAGCATTCCTTCTGTATTTTATATTTGTGTCAGCCGAAGTTTTTATAGTTCCCAATGCTCTGGTATCTTTCTATAAATATTACATTTTGGATGGATCAGAAGACTCATTTTGTCTACTTTTTCCTGCAACGTAATAATTTTGATTTATCGATTTTTGATTTTTTCTTCTTCTTAATTTGAATGTCAACCATTCTTCTCGCAATTGATTTCATTCAGTCTACCATGGAACTCTAAAACACCAATTGGATATTTTGCTTCAACTTGCGTTCAATTGGTTTGCACAAATTGTACAGTCTTTTGTTTCTCCACTTCATGTACGTTTTTTGTTGGATTTTGTACTCTATGCAGTGGTTTTAATTCGGATTTTAAAAATCGTTTGGTTGATATAAATAATGACGTCATCGCACTAAATGGACAATTTTCTATTAAAGATCGCATTAAAATCGCAAAAAAATTCAATAATATTATTCAATTTCATTCGGACAGCAGAGAGTAAGCTTATTCCTCCATATAATTTAAAATTCAATTAATGACGACTAAAAATATTTCTAAACAGATTTTCCGAACGAATTTCAAAAACATACAGCATTTTATTGTTGATATTTTTGGGAATTTCGATAATTTTACTTTGTACATCTCTTTTGGGCTTGAACGAGGTAATATTTACGTTGGAGGAATGACGCATCTTTTTTAAATGATTTGTTTTAACTAGGCGCTGTACATCAAGAATATGGTTTTTGGCTTACGTTTTTCCGTCATCTATGTACTGATGTTGTCATCCTTGGGTGTGTTGTGTTTTATTGGTGATCAACAGACTTCAGGATTTGAGGAACTAACCGAAGCGATTTATGCATGTTCGTGGAATGAATTTCCATTGGAAATACAAAAACTTTTCCCAACAATGTTAATGATCGCTCAAAAACCGATATACGTTCAGAGATACATGAGTTTGCCATGCACCCTCAAAGTTTTCAAAAAGGTCATTTTTTACCAATAAGCAAGTGATGCAGGATTTTTTAATTGTAAAATTAATTTTCTTTTCTTTAACAGATTATCAACGCTACTTTTTCTTACTTTATGATCTTACGAAAATTCACCTAATCAGCAATTTCTGCATAAGCGCAAACAAGAGCACGAAAAAGTTAACGAAGCACTTTTGAGGGTTTACAATTGTTTAGCCCAACTTAAATAATACTTGTTTCAATGTTTGAAAAATACAAATAAATATCATTTCAAGAATTTGTCAATAAATTAGCAACATTGATCGAAACAAGGATAATTCTATTAATTCTCATTAGGTATGTTTTATTGACATTTTCAAATTAACATCTAATTGTTTTTTTTTTTATTTAAATCTGTACATTCAATGTGTTGATCAATTTATTGGACGCCCAACTTCTTTTTGAGTGATTCCGGCATCTCAGCTGGTGGTGGTCGTGGCATTCTCAAAACAACCTTAACTGCATCATAGATGAACCATCTAAAATGAAATGGTAAAATTTACATTAAATCCACTTCTTGAAATCAGCTTAATCTGTTCGTTAGAATTGAAATACTCACTGAGCGGCGGTCAATGTACCAATCATAACAATACGAGGAATCAAGCCAGCCCATAATCCAGACCATCCCAATGCTTTGGCGACATCCATAGCGGATTGACCTTTTTTAGCTTGGTTCAATTTTGAAACGACTGTATCGGCTGGATGTGAAACAATAGCACAGAATACACCAGCAATGTAACCTATTTCAAAACAGCATTTCAATTATTCACCGTTTTTGAATTTGTAAAAATGTTTTCTTTTTTTCTCACCAGCAGCAAAAGTGACAATCAATTGTTCGCCTTTTGTACAGTCTGCTCTTGGTTTTGGTACAACAAATCTAAAATGAAATGGTCATTGTTACATCGAATCACCTTCAAGTCCAATGAAATATTTCGTTTTCAAGTAACTCACTGATAGAGCAATTCAAGCGTTTTTTCAAAACTAGCGAATTTCATCATTGTGTATGGAATTTGTCTGCACCATAATGGAACAAGACCTTTGTAGAAGGCATTTAGACCTTCGGATTGGGACATTTTTGGCAAAGCTTCGCGCAACGTGTTTGCAAAACCGGGTTGTGTTTGAATACGAACTTTGGCAGCTTCCATTGGTGAAAGTGCAATGTCGGCAATGAATTCGGCACTGGCCGAAGCGGCCAAATACAATCCAGTACGATAGAGATAAGCTTGTTCTTCATTCAAAAAGCCACCGTATAACACTTTGAACACTTCATAGAAACCGAATTTGCACAATCCTTGCGCTGAATATCCAATGAATGTTGGGGCCCAGCCTTTAGACAAACCTTTTATACCCTCTTCAGCCAATGTTACACGGAAACCGTTGAACACTGACTTATATTTAGCAGCATCGACTTGCAAGCGGCACTTTACTAAATCCAATGGGACAACCATCGTATGAGTTGAACCACAAGAGATAATACCACCCACACCGCAAAGCAAAAAATAGTGCATTGATCCAAATTCACATGAATCTAAAAGTATTCAATTAAAATTATTTTTGCTTTTTTCATTTTATTCAAATTAAATGTCAAACGTGTTTTTCCTCATTTGATTACCTCCTTCAGCAACGGCGGAAGCGGCAGCAATTTTTCGGCCAGCAACCAAATTTTGTGATTCGCCTGATTCACAGTTTACCGTTGATACGAACGGATTTTTGAATGTTGAGTTTCGTGCGGATTCCATTATGGAGGCAAACATCTTGACTTTGTTTTTTAAATATGTAACCTTGAAAAGTAAACAAAATGCATATCAAAAAGTATCTATATCTATTGGAACAATGTTTTAATTCAATAGAATTAGTCAGATTTAATTTTCTTTGTACAATGACATTGGCCCAATTACGAAACACCGTTAAGACTTGTGTGTAAGTTGATTATGAACGGCGTCTATATTTAGAACGCATTATTTTCACATAGAGCTTTTAAAGTGATTTTGTCGAGTCACAGTGATTGCATTCATTGTTTTAATTAATAACTGATTTATGTAACTTTTAATGAATTTTTAACAAGATATCACGTGTTTTTCAATTACTTCTCATTAAAAACTTATCTTTATTTTACTGATTCATTTTTCATACTGTATAACAATTTAAAAGACACTTTGATGTCATTGTCTCTGTAAAATGTGCTTTAATTTTGAAATCCCTATGTGAATTTGACATTGTGATTTTTGATTATATAATGTGTGGCCAATTAAAATCGATTTTTGTTGAACAATTTACACCCATTGATGGACTTTTCGTGAAATAAATTTTAATTTTTCTGCTACAATTTCAATTTTTGTCGAAGAAAGTAAAAAAAAAATAATATACCTTATGGATTTAGTGGCGAGAATTTTCTTTCGAAAATTTCTATTTATGACGACGAAAATTTGTATTGTGTGTGATCGTCACAACACCGCACATAAAACTGAATTGAATGCAAATGCGACAAGTGACTTGCGTTGCCTTTTTTTACTCGTAATCGCAATTCTAAATTTGTACTCTTGGCAAGCCAAGCGATTGTGCGTATGTTTCAATGAGTTTTAATTGTTGTTGTTACGATGAAACTGCCGAATTGCACACATCACCGAACCCATATGCATATTCACGCCGAATGCAAGCATCGTGCTATGATTTAAATATATCTAAAAACTTTAGTTGAATTCAATAGTTTGGAGTGTGGCCAAATGACACAAAACACGTGTTAGCAATGTGAAAGCTCACTGAGCAACCGAACATTTTGTTCACCTTCAAATATCGAAAAAGATTCATTGAAATTGTGCTGATAATAGTAGTAGATATTCAATTTCAAGTATTAAGGTCGAATGCAATGAAAAGATCCGTAATTAAATGTTCTACCTACCGCTTTATAGTTACCGTTGAATTTCATAGCACAATATATGTACGTATGGGGTAATAAATGAAATTCGATAAGGATTAGTTGAAAGTGTTGATACTGGTCATAAATTTGGGTATATCAAAGATTGGCTATCCTTTTTCGTTTATTAATTAATAAATACAAGTATATCAATTTCAAGGTATAATTATGACATTAGATCGATTTCCGGGGTACATCGTAAAATTATAATTTTCAATTGATGATAATAATCCAGAGTATAAATTTCCAATTTATGTGTTCAGGTGAATTTTGGAAATATGTACTATTTCAAATCGAAATCGAATCATCAGATGAAGAGAATAGTAATTTTCACTCGTTTCATCATTGAAACCAGCACATCGAGCCTATTTTGTTGAATGTTCTGTACAATTTATGGATATAAAAAGTAATTTTCGTACGTTAATTTAGATAACGATCATGTTCGTTTGCAATATTGAAGAGTTGTCGATAACTATTCCACTCATCAACAGATGTGATGCTCGACGATACGAGAATATATGAAGTACAATTGAGAGACAGTGTAAACATTTGAAGAGTTAATTTGTAAACTGATATGATTGTCGATGTCTTGAATGTAAAATAAACACAGGCTCCTTGATTAAATTTCAACACATTGATTTGAAACAATGAACACCAACTCAACGTGCCAACGCGCAAAGTGAACGAAGGAACGAGCAATAAAGAACAGTGTGTATAATTAGCTTATGAACATATTTGCTAAATAATTGACAAGGCCTTTATCGTTCCCTTTCCGGCAAATCATTGTGAGCCCTTGCAACGACAAATAACCACTTTACAAGCTGATATTATTATATAATATAAAATTTGCGCGCGTTTATGTATGCGCCAATTCAAAATAATCGGTCATCGAAGACAATGAAGAATTGATGTTTGCTTTATTGATCACAAATCAATGTGCAGTGCGGTCGAGCGTATAGATGTGGCTATAGACACTTCTATATCATCAAACTGTTCAATATTTATACAGATTAATATTGGAAGTGCAATTGATAGACATGCAAATGGTCAACACATGGATAACATTCGTCGTTCACTGGTCGAACACTGGTCGTTCACTCCGTTTACTCTTTACCACTCTTCTGATGAACAAGAGAAATACAATATTCGCAAACAATCTATTGCTCCATTCAAATCAAGCTTTGCATATCGAATAATGTTAATTCGTTTTGGTTCGTACATCATATGAAATGATAATAAATGTTATGTGCTTGCATTCTGGATTAAATTGATGTTTAAATAATCGATAGATATCATAGCAAAACACACACGAATTTTCGATCAATACGGACACAAAACATCAAACGTGTTCCCTGTGTGTTTGTGTGTGATTCATTTGCACGAGACAAATTGCATAATGTAGTGTACAAATCATTTTATTAGTCAATTCAAAACATTGCACACATTATATGCACCGTACGTATATGTGGAAGACAATCAAACGATTCACATAATATGTGCTCGACAAACGCACAAATTTCATTAGATTCGATCAGATTTCCATACACAAATTAAAACATATACCATTCGGACATGGAATGAGGTATAATACCATTCAAAATATAACATCGAAAGGGCATTTTCATTATTATAGAAAATTCTCTTTCATCGCTAATTGAGAGGATTCGCCTTAATGTGCTCCCTCTCTCGCTCTCTATCTCTCTCGCTCTCTAACATAAAATGAAACGCAAACAAATTTATAATGCTTGTCATATCCAATACCACATCTACCAGACTCACAATTAATTCACACAGTTTATTTGCTTGATGCATAAGAAACTAATTTCCTTTATGTCTCTCTCTCTTTGAGTACATTTATTTCGATTATGCTGCAAATTCGCACACAATTCAATTTAATTTATATTTATGCCCTTTTAATAAATTATCTATGTTTATCGAATGTTTCAAATGTTAAATGAAGACGAAATCGAAATCAAAAGTATCTATGATTGTCTATTAGTTCGATATCCTAACATTATTTGTTAATGGAAGAGGAAAAAGCAATCTTTATTCATTGAAAATGTAAGAATATTATATCTATGTTGTAGCCAAATTGCATTTAATCGGGCCATGTTGAAATAAATTACTCACAAAGGGAGATTTTTTTTGTTCTTCAAATTTCAGTGCATTTGGTTCTTTTTTCGAACCCATCCAAATAAAATGAACGTCTTTCTTTACGGTCTTTAGTCGGTTGGCCTATTTCAATTTGCCTTTACATTGCCAACGAATTGAATGTTGGGCTTAGAACGTATTAACACGATGGATAAAAACAACAAAATTATGAACGAATTCAAGTCGTTCATACAGATATAATAACGATTAAATGAATTGGCATTCGGACGAATAAGAAAATTCGTGATTGTGATGGTTATTGCAACCGGAATTTCATTTTGGATGCATTCCAATACGACGGATTCAGACAAAGCGTTAACCTAAATTACGATATCCATTTGGAAAGCGTCACATCAGAAAATTTAAACGACAATTTTCATAAAAGCTAAACACCAATTTCTCTTTTTGTCTCTATACGTTTTTCGTTGCATCTTTCTTCTTCTATTTCTCTCTTTTACATCCCTTTTTGTCTCGCAATGTTTTTTTTTTTTTTGGTTGAAATGGACTTTTTTTGTTAGTGGACGTTTGATCTGAGAAAATGCCACATCAGTTGGAATGTTGAATTTTAATTGCTTAGGCTTAATGAAAGCTGAGTAAAATATGACAATGTGGAGGAGACATTCACAATTAAAAACATGTGTCAAACTCAACCTCTTCACAGAATGGAAAATATTATGGCAAAGAATGCAAAAATCAGAAGCATATTTAAAACAAAATGCAAGTGAAAAAGACTTTCTCTTGCATTGCACTTTATCCGACCAATGAAATGATCTATAATAAAACAAGCAAGCAGTGCGAGGCAGAGAAATAGATTCTTTATTTAATCTCTTTCCCGGTAACGCCAATTGGCATCTCTAACAAAGCTGTTAAAATGTCATTCGCGTGTTTATTTTCATTCAACGCATAGTGAAATCGAAAATAAAACGCAAACAACGAACAAATGTACATCGTTGAAAGTAAATTGACAGAACACATAGAAAATGTTAAATGAAAAAAAAAGGTTTTCATTTGGAAGACGCGCTGATTTTGTTTTTGTATCCTTTAGTTTTCTCAATTAAAAGTAATAGATAGATATCGACCGCTTTGTTTGTACAGGTCGGGATTGTGGTAGTGGCAACACAATGATGAAGAAATGTGCAAAATAATATCCGTTCGAGAATTTTAATTAAAATCGATTGACACATTTAACCGGAAATAAACACAAACTAAATATTGTCACATCTCATCGTCGACATCGTTTGAAACGGTTGATGTTAAATAACCATCGCAACCACCAAGTACAGTATCTGCGTGTCTGTGAATTTGATGGCACCGTCTCTTTCGTTTCGTCGATCTTTGATGTTGTCTTAATCTGGTGAGTCATTTTGAAAGGTGGTTTTCTCTGCGATGCGAAAGGCTTGTTATAACATTCCATTTTCAATTTATGTTCGGTTCTTTATCGTTTTTATACTGAATGTCTGACTCTGCTATATATTCGATATGTAATCTTTCTCATTTCGTCTAATCGAATGTCTTATTTGTGCTTTGATTTTACTCTTAATGAAAACATCGCATTTCAATTTACGATAACAGCACATTTCAACATCTAAATGGATATAATCAATTTTCAACATGAAATGTGTATAAATTAACGCAATGACAATCTACACATTCGAAGTGCATGTTACGAAATAATTATTCGCATAACATGACAGAAGTGGGTTTTCTCATTTGTGCGACAGTAATGAGTATTGAAAGCTCTTGAAAAAGTAATTGGGTTTCGCATGTACAATCAAAATGTTGTAAAATTCATTGGAAACTGCATGAAATTGAGGTGCAATCAAAATAGAAAGATCTTTTGGCAAATGAAATATTCATTGAATGTGAAAAATTGCGTGTTAACTTGATTGCGTCCAATCAAATCAAATATCGAATATCGAAAATCCATTGTTCAATGTAATGGAATGCAAAGAATTGGAAGAACTTCATTTTGAAATTGGTATGCATTGTGAATAGAACACGTCATCGTGTGCATTCAACGTTGCAATGCGCCGCCTGTTCGTTCACATTGAAATCCCAAACTTGATCGGAAAATGAAATCAGAATTAAAATACAATCATCGAAGTGAAATGATAACAAGAGGCACACGCCAACAACTGCAATGCATACGAAATCGGGGAAAGCTTGTACAGAGAACAAAAAAAGTCCCGTAAAACGAATATACTATACACAAGCGCGCGCGCATACACACACATAACCAGAATAAGACAGTACATGTATTGAATTCAATCACCAATTCTGTAAGAATTTTCACTCAAAATCGAATATTCTACTATTCGAACATGTTCGCTCAAATCTTGATGAACAATGCACCAGCATACAAAAAGAGCGCATCTTTGATTCTGATTACGATTCGAACTGTGTTGCATTCAAGGAAGTACGAAATAGTCGATTGTCACACGACAATATCCTGTCACAGTCAAAATCGAAAGACAAAAGCAAAACATCTACACATAAGATACAAAAGGTTCTCACTGCCGCCAGATCTTTGTGTGCGGGTTTCTGTTTTCTTAAACATGAAATACGGTATATAAAGTTTGTCAATGCACGCGAGCATTCAATCTGAAATACAAATATAATTAAAACGACTCTTGAGTATATTTTCTTATTCTCTTTGCCAAATGCAATTATTCGTATCACGTTTTGTCTATAAAGTTTGTTCGTTCGATTTCAAGCTATCTCTTTCTACGGCAATTCCGGCTTCTTTTTGCATCCCCTTAGTTTTATTCACCGAAGCATGAATCGACGAAATAGAGAAATATTTCGAGCTTTCTTAACAGCGCCTTTGTAGAGCAAACACTTCATTATTCGATATATATTTCATGGGCTTCTGTCAGTGTATTGTTACCATCATAGCGCCATTGATAACGTTTTGAGGTACAAGAAACGACAATCCAGAAAATGAAAGCACGACTCGAATTTCAAACAGCTTATATTATATGGCACAATACTTCGTTTACTCTAACTTACTTTTTTTTGCATTTGAAATGCATATTTGCATTTTCACCACTCAAAATCCATTTTTCACTCATAAACAACCACATCTTAAACCATTCACAATGACTTCAATCATTTTAAATTCAATGAAAATCATTTGTAAATTGATAAAATAATTCAACTTTCACTGAACATGTCAGAACATTAATTCTTGCCAATTTTCGATAAATTCCCGGTGGAGCGATTTAATTTTATTGTATTTTTTTATTTTCTTTAAGACTGGAAAGTTTTGCCAAAAAATACAATCAACAGGCTTATAGTCCCATTTACACATTAAATGGTAGTTAATTATACCATTTGAATTACAAGGTACTTTAGAACAAAAAATGCTATTTAATATATTAAGAAAAGAAAACGAAATAAATTTTAAAGTTGAAGGGCAAACAATTATTTTCTCAATTGTTTGGAGAATTTTCTTATCCGGTTATTGCCGGCAGTCCTCCTATCCATCTGACCAGGTCACAAGAATTGTGATTTGATATGCAGATGGTACTGGCCTACAAAGCTGCACTGATTAGCTGTATACAGCGAAATCAATCACTTCGTAGGTTTGACTGAAACATGTTTGTGATTTGGCATTTGGTAATGCGAAAAAATTGCGTCAGTATAAGTATAGGCTGTTCATTTCCTTGAAAATGTTCCAATAATTTATCCTATTTAATATAGTTCAAAATACGATAAAAAGTATGTAGAATGAAAGTATGATGTAATGAAAAAATCCACTTCAATTGGAAGTGTATGGCTTTTTTTTATAATCTTAGAGACAATGGACAACCGTCTCACGAAAATTAATAAGGCGTCAATTTAAATTGATATACCATAATCGATCAGTTAAAATAAAATTAAAATAGTTTGCATACAGATTTTCAAACCAACTGCCGAGTTTTTTTAGATAATATTAAATTTTGAATGAATCAAATATGTGGTGTATTTACAAATTACAGACTATGGTCCAGTCTCCAATTATTGAAATTTGCTTGTTCGTTACACATTATCTCCCGTGTCATTCAGGTACAATGTACGTATAAACTAAGAAGTAAACAAAATTATACACTTCATATAGTAAAAAACGTAAAACTAATGATATCAGGATATAAAGGGGCACCGAGTTTTTCAGTTAATGCAAAGCTGTCTATGGATTAAAAAGAAAATTGGTCGAAAATTGAATAGGATGTACGAAAATAATGAATAAAGTGTATCGGTATGGAAAAAAGGCGCAATCAAAAGTTACTAAAACAACATATTTCCCATGCTAATATGATGCGAAGCGTGAAAATTGGTGTTTCATATATATTCAATTTTCCAAAATACCGAAACTTTATATGGGGGAAATCTAAAAAATCTGAAAATTATATTCAATGGTGCGTTGAGATGACAACGAACAACAATGCAAAAAAAATCGTCGATTTTTATTATGAGTTCTTTCCCAGTACTCTTCTTTTGCCATGGTAAATATTATTTTAAAAAGTATTTCGTTCCGTTATAGTGGAAAAAAAAAGTTAGCAAACATACACAATATTTTATCGCATATTACATAGCACCAGCACCATTTTATTGTCAATATATATATTTTTTTTTCAGAAAAACACAAACAATTTTTTTAAAATTCTTTTTTTTCTCATATTCAATACTTACATACGTTACATGTGCTATGTTTATTTGGCACTTGTTCGATTATTAAAACATCTCAACATCTTTGTAATATATGACCAAACGAGGAAAAAAATTGTCTACTTCGTTAGAACCCCTCGAACAACGTTCAAATGTCGAGACGAAAAACAAAAGCGCGCTCAGCATTTTATGCACACATTCACGTCATTGATAAAGTATGATGTTCGGTTTAAACTTTCTCTTCTGCATATTTACCGAAGAGATGGCGGACGAACGAGCGAGCTAATTCTCATGGGGTTTGAAGTAGTACAATATATGTGTGTGCGCGATGTGCGTGAGCGCACCGGCGTTTCTGCTATGTTCGCATCTAATATCCATAAGCACATGATACACGACAAACAATTTAATGGGATAAAATAGATGCGTTTAATAGCATAAGTGAGATATGGGCGTGAATAATGATCCAAATTGCGACGGCGAAAAATGTTGTTGCTGTTGTTTTTTTTCTCTATTCATTCTTTCGAACTTGGAAATTGATTGTGGTGCAGTATCACTTTTACACCACAATATTTTATTTTAGTTTTAAAGTTTTGCAGCGCGCACATTAATTTTATGTGGCAAATTTTTATGCTCTCTCATTTTTCGAAAGAGTGTCGATCCCATTTCGAGAGAGTGAAGTTGATTATTTTGCCGATAAGTAGAAATTGGCAAACATGACTTGTGGAAAAAAGAAATCAAGGAGTTTGACAAAGTTTCTAAAATGGTAACAATCGACAATTGATTGACGAGTAAAATGGCTCTTAATTTTATTGAATTGGATCAACCACATATAATGCAGAGCACATCAATCAATCTCACCTGGCGTCGTTGTGTTGTTATTTCAGTCAACCAAATGTAATCTGGGTGTATATCTCGATTGTCAATATTGAACGATGAAATAAGATTGACGCTAATATGCTTACATTTTGCATTTGTAAGCTAAAAGTTATCGTATGGAAGAGCTTGTGTAGCGTGTTGCACAATTAACGAGACTTAATTGAATTAATCAACATTTCCATGATACGTTGTTCAACTATTTCAACAGGGTTCTCAGTTATTCAATGAGTAAAGAATGTTTCAAGTGCAGAATGCACGAGCATTGACCAAAATTATATAAAAACACAGAAGGAGCGTGTCAAGAAATTGACCAAAACCAAAATACGAATGCGAATTTTTTTTATTTAATATTTCATGTTGATTTGCAGGCGATAGGCGGCAAAATATCTTTTCAACTAAACGTTTCGCACTTCAATATTTATGGAAAAACTTTTTTCCCATTTTCCAATCCACTTTGTTTTTATTATTTATTGAACATTTTCGTACGCATCGAAGCAGGCGAGAACGTCTTAGCGAAAAGAGGGAAAAAATGTTTCTTATCTAGATAATCTTTCTCTTCCCCTCACTCTGTATGCCATCATTGAATATTAATGCACATTTTCTTTCCACTTCCAAATTGATTTGTCATCGTTACAGAAGATTGGGTCCTGCCGTGAATATGCGTTGTTTTGAAATTGTTTCAACAGTGAAGAGATGACGCGTTTAACCCAAATGAAGATGAAAAGTTTTATTTTTATGAAGATTTCTCTGAGATTCTGCCTACACAAACAGCAAAACTTTATCCATTTCACCATATATGATAATGATAATTCATCGCTCCTGTCCTTTTGGTTCCAATTTACTGACCAGTTCAATACTTACCACATTTGTACGATGACAATTCAGAATATTCGATTGAATTTGGAATTCAGAAAATGTTGACAAGCGATTTATACTTGATTATTGCATCATCGTTGTAACGATAGCATCAAAACGTTGTTCAATACGGCTGTGATATTATGGAGCCATTAAGAAAAAAAGAACATTTTTATTGAGAACATAAAAACTGTCAATCGATATCAATAAACATAATATAAATAAAATGAGATATAAAATATACAGTTTGTGTTTTTTCATCATCCGAAAATTCCTAATTTTATTTGCGTATAATTTTACTAATGGATTAGATAGTCGTTTATAATAATAATGATGCGTTTATGGTTGAGTTGTATAACAAAGGCGAAATACCATATCCAATCAATGGAAAAAATTTCCAACACTTTTGAATTATTATATTATCTGTTGTAATAAAATCAGAATTTTATTTAATGCCTTTCTTCTTTTTTTTAAATCTGCGATGGTATTGATGAATGGATTTTATACCATAAAATTATGTAAATTTCGAACACTTTCAGGCACTTGTAAAATTGAATGTTCGGTTTGTGTTTGAGTCTCTGTGTGTGTGTTTGTTTTCTTAAATTCGTTCGAAAAGATTTTTATAGACATTTCGTTGCTGATTTTGATAGTTGCGCCAAATTTCTTTGGCTCGTTGGTATTCGTTTTGAATGTTTTTATCCTTGGGTAAGGAACGATAGGCTTGTTCTAAATCAATTAGTGCATCGTCATAATTTTTCAATCCGATATGAGCCTGACCACGACGATATAAAGCTTTTGCATTGCACGGATCGAGTGACAGCACTTCGTCGCAAGCGTTCTTTGCATTTTCCACATTATTTAGCTTCAGTTCAACAGCGGCAAGATTCAAACAAACAACCGAATTTATTTGATAAACACATTGTAATTTTTCTCGCAATTTTTGGACTGTCAAACCTTTGCGATATTTTGTTTCCAGTTTATCTTTGAAATAATTGAAATATCGCACAGTTTTTTTGTATTTGCGACACGATTCCACATAATTCTTTTCTTTGAAAAACATATTGCCGGCCGCTTTGATCGATTCGAGGACACGCACAGCCTCTTCAACCTGAAACATCACAAAATTCAATGAATTTACTACAAAGAAATTAGTTTTCAAGTAATCGTTATGTATTTACTGTGAAATCCTTTGTTTTTTCATCCCAATCTTCTGGAAACGGTGGTAGCTTATCTTCACTTTTATCATTATCACAATAATTCCAATCTTCTTCCGGCAAAATTTCACCACAATTATCAACAGTCATTTCCTGTTTAATTAAAACCATTGAACGATTTCATAATGAATTTGCACAGTTTTCAATTCAATTGGTCCTACCAATAATGGTTCTGAATCGTCCGATGCATATTTCTCCATTTCTTGTAGACAACCAAGACCACGTAACACTTTGCCAAATACCACATTTGAACCATCACAATGTGGACTGTCAACGGTTGTTACAAAAAATTGTGAATTGTTCGAATTTGGCCGACCAAAATGTGCCATTCCGACAGATCCGGCTTCATGCTGCTTACAAATGTTCGAGAGAAAAAGATCACAAAGGAAAATTAGTATGGATAAATGTTTCATTCGTTCTATAAATTCTTACTGGCAGTTCTAGACTCTCATCGTCAAACAGTGGCCCATAGATACTTTCGCCGCTGGAACCATCATTTTTAACAATATCACCGCCCTGCACCATAAACAAACGCTGAACTTTATGGAATTTAATACCTTTATAGTGTAATGGTTTGCCATTGGCACCGATGCCTTTTTCACCAGTGCATAAACAACGAAAGTTTTCGACCGTCTTTGGTACCACATCCTTTCTCAGTTCAATGATTACGCGTCCCACTATTGTAGACAATAATAAATATCGATTTTTTAATAAATTTTAAATCACCATAAACTCACCGATTTCGAGTCCAACGCGAATATCCATAAACACGACGGGATTATTTGGATGCCTTAAATCTGTCATTATTATTTTTACTTTATTTGTTCTTATTGTATAACGAAAAACCTTTTTATCAAACACTTCGTCTGGATGACTTTATTCGATTGAAAATGCAATATCCGTCTGTGGCATTTGTTATGAGTTCCAGTAAAATGCAGCTAATATTGAAATATGATCAAAATTAAAATGAATAAATGCAATTCATTGGAAAGTTTATTTTTTTGTTTGATTTTGTTCGTGAGATTTGATCTAAGTGTGTCTGTCAAAAATATTATTTTGTTTTTGTTTGTCTATCAAGCGGCTGTCATTATGTCATTAACAAAGAATTTTATTTACAATTTCCCCTTCATGTGCGTGACTCACGTTTATCGATATCAAAATTGGTGTGAGTCTTTGCTAAACGTGTATGCACTGAACTGAACCGTTTACATTTGAAATCACAGAAAAATCAAATAAAAAACAAATAAATCCGTTTTTTTCTCTCACTCGGGTTCAAGTTTAGTTTTATTCGGAATTTTCATTTCCATATTCATACAATGTTTTTTTTTTCTTGTCAATTCAATACAATTGGTTAGAATTCAATTTTTGTATAAAATTTTAGTTTTTCAGAAACATTTTGTTGATTATTACTAATGAGATTGAAAGCAAATTAACAATAATTCCAACCAAAAAAAACTTCAACATTTTGTTAGTGGAAATTACTCGCGGTTGCGATCTAGAACTGTTGAGATTTCTAGCAAATTAACACTCTTAAGAAATTTTATTATTTTTATTACTTTCAAATGTGCCAATTCTCTTGTTCATTCAAAAGTGTATAAAAATGTAAAATGAAGTAAATGAAATGTAATAAGCTCATCTACATTTTGTAAAGAAAGAGAAAATATTCACTTACATGTATATAATTATGTGTATTTTTTTGAATGATTAACAACAAAGTGTATTTTTTAGCGAATGTCTGTATGTCTTATTATCTATCACAAAATCTTCGTTTCATCATATAACATATATGAATGAAATGTTTAACATTTATAAGACAAAAGAAAATTGTCGCTCATTATCCTTTCCTAATGAGAAATGTTTTACGAAACGTGCCTGAGGCACAACATCAAAAAGGTGATTTCATTTTTAGTAAAAGTTTCATGTTGATTTTATTCTACAAATGTCATGTGTGATGGATTGATGGAATAACAGAGAGTTATCGTGCTAACAACTAATTATCTATGCGGTTTTTGTTCGCCATCAATCGAAATGACGCCGACAACGACGATGACGAACTATAAAAAATGAAACCGAAACGAAACGCATAATTTATATAGATGATGGCATGCGATTGACGCATAATCGATTATTACTCATGAAAGTCAAATTATCAATAAAAATAAACAGATGGCCAAAGAATGGGCTCGAGAAGAAAAGACAACACAATAAAAGTGGTATTATGGCACGTGCATTATTCGTTTTGATTTAAAAAAAAAGCCGAATGGTTGAGTTTAAAGACGTTTTTGAGTTTGACCAAACAAAGCACGCAAATTGATTTTTGATAATTTCTGTCGTGCTATTCACCTTTTTGACTCAAATTCTTTCTACAATGCTTTAAATTGGAAATGGAAATAGAGAAAGACCAATACAAAAACACATCACGCACATGCATGTCATCATGATGAAGACGGATTGATTAACTACGAATACAAATTGTACGCGAATTTTATTGGTCGTGAGACAATTAGGTATGCTGATTTAATGGAATATAAAAGCAATAAGAAACAGAACAACACCTTTAGAAGAATGGACACAAAAGTGACAAAAACCAATGAAAGAATGATAAAAACGTACATTACCTGTCAACAAACCTGTGCTATGGAAATCAACGCAAGATACTCTTCGGACTGTCCAAATGAAATTGAAATTCTTACCATTTTCGGCATGCAATGCACGCATATGAAATTTTCAAGCGACTTCATGAGTTGCATGTTCATCAAGAATCGTGCGTTAGCACATGCTCACAATTAAAAAAAGAACATGCAATGAAATATAGAAAACACCATTCGACGCTTGAATTTTGATATGCAAGCGCAGAAGAGTCTAACAGCAAACATTTAAAAATGAATGGAAGCAATTGGAAAATAATGATGCAGAAAAAAAACAATAAGTGCAATGATCGTATGAATGAATTCGTACATAAAATGTGCGGACACCTGAAATTGTTCCTGCAAAAAAAATAAGAATGCACACAGTTAAACACCTGCATTATTTAATATTATTTACGTATAAGTTTTCTCTATGTTCATCGCTAAATTTTTATTTGTCATTTAAATATATGATTTCAGTAGATTTTTATGGTTGTTGTTGTTTTTTGTAGTACAATAAATTTACTGATTTGGTTCAGTGTATCGGTTTTTCCACACATTAGTAAAATTACAAAAAAAACATCATTAATGGTTTTGCAAATAATTGCGAAAACACATCACTTCAACAACAAAAAAATGGCAATCGATTAATTATCATTTCATTCCATTGACTTTAAAAGTTAAAAGGGGTAGAACCATTTATTTTATTAATATGTTTTATTTTTAGTGTATGTTTTTGTTTGTTTTATATATCTTGTATGTTATCATATATATACTTGTAGCAACGTTATTGTAAAAATGTTGTGTTAAATCATCTAGTTTACATTTGTTTTGTTTTTCATCATATATAAATATCGGGTCGTTTATTTGAATGTATTTGTATGTTGTGTTTTGTATGGGATGGGGGGTGTGTCGTATTTAAGTTTGTTTATTTACCACTTAGAAATTAGAATTCTATAATAATAGTCTATGAACTTTTTGCTGTCTGTTTCACTCATTAGAATATAAATCATATATTAAGGAAAAAAAATGCCAGCCGAGTTTGCGTCTAAGCACATAGTCACATCAATGGTCACTTTGTGTTTTTTTTCATGTTATGTGCGATCTAAACTAATCTCTTGCTCTTTCCCTTAAAATCGCGCATCACAAAATCAATTGCGCATTCATACAATTTAAGCTTAACATTACTCACAATGATATGCCCACGCATCTCATACACTCCTGCATTTTCTGATACTGAATACATCAAAACAATGGTATATCCAATCTTTCACCTAAATAATCCCAGTCAATAGGAATTTTTATGGAATAATCCATTCCGAACAGAAAATAGAAAAAAAAATGTGTTCAAATTGAAAACATAAAAAAGTAAGTGGGGGGGAGGGGGTTGAAAAAAATAGAAACAATACAACGGATAAACTAAAGAGAAAAAAATGTTTGTGATTTATTCAGTTTTGTTTTTTAAAAACGTGTTGCACCATATATAGTTCTTTTTATATCATCCAAATATATTTAGCTTAATTTTTGCTCTTATATTTTGTTTCTACGGAAACTCTGTGTTAGTCTTTTTCATCCTAGACGTTTATTGTTATTGTTACAGTATACACCGAAGAAAAATCTCATTTTCAAAATCTTCATTTTTTGTTTCAAATTTTCTACAAAAAAGAGTCCATCCTTTTGTTTTTGGCTCGACAAAAAAAGTAAAATCGAAAAACGATTCGGAAATTACATATTCGTATTGAGTTTGTTGCCAAACAAATGTGTGTTTTCGTTTTGACGCCCAAATGTTGCGTCGCTTAAAAAATTGTTATAATGTTTGTTTTTTTTTTAAATTTTATTATGTTTTTTCCTCAAATCGAGAAGAAAACATCAATTCTAATGTTGCGAATGCAAAACATCAATGATTGGTGCTTAAAATGTCTATATATATAATGATCGCCACAATAATTTTAGCAATCGATTAAATTGTTTACTTAATTTTAAATTGAGAACATTTGACATCGAACCATTGTTATTGTTTTATGTACAAAAATGTGTGTGTGTGTTTGCGTTGTTCGATCGAAGAAAAAAAAGCAAATCGACAACGACAACCACACTTGATGGCTTCATTCGAATTAGATTTAACGCAATGTATGGGTATTGGCCATTTTGTGCGATATTTTCCTCCGCTTCGTTTCAATCCATTTATGATTTAATATAAGTTTGTTTTTTATTATTTAATTGCTGAGATACACATGATGTTCTGTCTAAACATGGGATCACTGTACATTCAATAAACGAACAAATAACGCTCATTCTCATCGACACTAGTCTAATTGTGGTTCCTTAAAATTAAATATTATCTGCGCGCGAACTTCGTTTTTCACGGTGTTTTCTTTTTTTTCTTCATTTTATTGTTATTCATCTTATTAAATTTTAATTTTATATCAAAGAAATTGTCCTATAAGAATTTTATCAACATTCTTTCGTTTGTGTGTTTTTTTATGTTTGTTTTTTTTTTTCTAATTTAGAACAGAGGATACGAAATGTTTCAATTTTCTAAATATTTACGCGCTGATTTGTTCAATCACCTTACAAACAGAAATCAATAAATATTATTATATCAAATAAACCAAACACAAAACAAATAATATGTTACTTCTCTTTTAATGGATTTTCATAATTTACCCTAATTTTATACGTAATTCTTATTTATAAATAGGATGCTTTTTAAACTCAGAAAATAGAAATGGCAACATTTCAATACATTGATGTCGGATTGTTAAATTATAATCAACGCCTTAACTATGGACGGTATGCATTGTATTTGACCTGCTTAGCAATTTCAGTATTTGAATTGGTGGTAATATTGCACAGTATGGTAAAATTAAAATGCATAGAAATTGACATTGTGCCACGTCCATTCATCGTTTCAAAAATCATTGTAGTGATTACGATTCAACTGTTTCCGATCACAGTTTTAGAATGTTGCTATTTCTGTTTTGCGTGAGTTGTAGCAGAGAAAAGAAAAAGAAATGAAAAATTTCTATCATAATACATATATTTCATTCTTATCAGTTAAATGTTCCATTAAAATGTTTCAATGTCATATGTTATAGTCCTCATTTGTATAGTAATAATAATAATAAATGTTATTGAATTATTCAATAGGTTATTCACTACAAATATTGCTCAAGAAAAAATCGCGCATCGTTTCACGAATAAATGGTTTTTTTTTTTTATTGTTTTAGCTCTGTTGTATGTTTGGGTGTGTAATTTTTTATGTGTTCTTGCATACAAATATTCTCTATATCTGATTTGAATGCACGTTGTACATTTGCTCTGAATGAAAAACAAAAATGATTAAAATCCAAGTTTAAAGAACTAACAGCTTTTGCTTAATTTTTCCTTAAGAATTGATGTTTTTGAAAAACAGTTCTGTTTCCGTCGCACCTGTGTATACGTATAACAATGAATTTAGATGGATTTAAATGAGATACGAGTTTTGTATGTTTATTTTGTTGCATCAAAATATTTAAGTTGCATGTGAAAAATGCGATCGTCAAATAACAAATCGTTTCAATTATATTAAAAATGGATTCCTTATCGTCTTTTGTTACATTTTTTTCTTCTTTTAAAAACAGCAATCATGCTTTTATAAGACATTAAATACAAATCGGTTTTAATTGTCTTCGATCATGCTCTGGTTTATACGTAGAACGATTCGTTGATCTCGCTGATGTTTTTAAAAAAATGATTTAATTGAGATATCGTTTACGTTTCATTTCTTTTTTCTTTAAAAATGGTTTACCAGCTGAAACATTGATCATCAAATTTATGTGTTATGCAAAAAAAATTTTTTCTCTCCTTTTTCGACTTTGTCACATTTTAATTAAATTCATAATTCGTTTTTGCGTAATTCCACATTTTAAGTTTCGCGCTCTTTTTTCACTTTCAATTCTTCGCCAAGAATGGTCGCAATTTCACCTTGCATAAATGCCCATGGAATTGTTGAATTTGCCAACGGACACTTATCACCACTGGGACAATATACTTCAGAGCCAGAACCCTATTTTTTTTTTCGGAAAATAAATAGATAAAATTGAGTTCATTTGTGAATGAATTTAATTTGTTTTTATTTTCAAATAATATACCTGTCGTTTGATGCTCTCCCGACTGCATGGGAAACAGAATTTGTGATGATTCACTGATGGACACTGTACGAAATGTGTGTCTTCAAGACGTTCCTGGCACAATGTACACTTCAGCGTTGGATTTGGTGCTGGGGTAGCGCCAGCGGTTGTATTACCTATCACCATAAAAAAAACAATTATTAATTTGTGACATTTATTCAGAATTGTGTCGAAAATGATCCGTAAATTGTATGCAAACGTACCAGTTGGTGGAACACCGAGACCTTCAGCCGATGGAGCATTTGCAGTAAGATTTGATGCATTGCTGACTGGAATTGGAACGCCTGGCAAATTGCCTTGGGCATTTTGTTGCTGTGCTTCAGATGATGTCACTGTCGTACTTGAAACATGCCGTGAACCAGATGATCGTCGTCCACTCGAGCCTGCCAAAATAAAAATAAAATAAAAAGATTACACACTTTTTCAAAGCCAAAATATCAAACGTCATTAAAGTCTATGGAGATGTTGAAAAAAGAATTCAAAATTGCTGATTTGTACCAGAGACTGAACGTTCTGTGCATTGATCCTTCAATTAAAATGAATGATTTTAAACTGTGTCGTACCTGAACTGTTTGGCGAATGTTGACTGCCACGCGATGCGGTACGTGGAGGTGGTGGTCCTGGTGGTGACGAACCATTCCGTGGGCTTCCCGGCGGTAGTGTTTCTGTAATGGACATTAAATTAGCCATTGGGCTTTGTGAAGTTGCTGATTGTGCTGGTGGCGTTGGATCTCCAACTGGCAGTGGTATGGGCAATGGCATTGATGTTGGGTAAACTATCAAAAACAATATATTCAACAATCAAAATGGGTCGAACTGTGCACATTTGTTTTTTTTTTTGTGGTTTTGTTTGTTTGGTTTCGAAATTTTGAGGTGAGTTTTTTTTGCTTGTGGTGAGACATTTTTCTTTTTGATTCGTTGCTTGATTCTAAATTTTCGTTTTCGTTTTCATTTTTAATATTTACAGAGTACAATCATTTTTCTTTACCCAATTCGATTTAAATGAACGGCAAACAATTAAAAGGATTGCTTTCGTGTTCGCTTTTAATGCCGTGCAAAAAGTGTTTGTTTTGCAATTATAAGCCAATGAATTTCACATATTTGAATGATTTACACATATGCGGTGCGAGATTGAAACATGTTGCATTTAAATTTTAATATGTGGGGTGGACTTTGTGCATGATTATTATTTAAAGAAAAAAAAATGCAACATTGTATTCAATCAAAATTACAAATGACTATGAACAAAGCAAAATGAATGCATCGATTAGATCATAGCATCGATTCACACAAACATTATTATTACATGTTCGGTTTGTTTACTATTTTTTTTTCTGAATTTCAATTCGCTTTTCACGACATAAATCGCACGATATGTGTAATACAGGTATGTGATTGCCAACCAGCACCAACAACAACAATATAACAACAACTTAAATGATGAGTGTTTTAATTTTCTCTTGTTTTCGATTCCATTTGAGAGGAGATGTAGAGAGAGAAAAATAAAACAATGCACACACATTTATTTTGGTTCTTTTAACAATTTCATGAAAACAAAAGCAAACATGGTGAATGAAAAACATCATTGAAAATGAAAAAAAAAAACATCAACACATACGCACACACAAAAAATTTTTTTATAAAAAAATGAAAGAAAAAAGTCATGCTGAATATTTGATCGTAGCTACCAATTTATCGATTAACATGATATGAACTTTTCAGTGAGTTGAAGGTGAACGGAATCGATGTAAAATAAAAATTGTCTAAAAATAATTACGAAATAATTTTGCTTGAATTTGGCCGTATTATGGATAATTTAAATGTCGCAAAAATAAAACCAACTTGAAATTTAGTAGCAAAAACGGAATCTTAATGACGAAATCTGTTCATCATATAAACCGGTCAGCGTGATAAGTAAAGGCTATTTTAATCGTTGAATTTGTTACTGTCGAAAAATTGCAAAGTGATCGGGTGAAAAGTGAAGGTAAGATACAATTACCGTATACAATTGAAATTGCATGCTTCTCAATTTGTAAATCTCTCGTTAGTTCTTCGTATTTAGAATTCTGCACGTAATTCTATGCGTATATTTTTATTGTTTTTATAAGTTTGTTAGTTTTAGTTCTAGTTGCACGTGTATAATTGAGACAGCGTAATTCCTTCAAGTGAATCGTGTATGCGTGCGTGAGCATTTATACAAAACGTACATTGTTTCAAACTAATTTGTGTATGGGCGCCGTCATACAAATGAATAATGTATGGATAGACAGCAATTGTTTATGGGCCAATATTCCATCGGCTTTAACATACGTACATCATCAAAACGAATACTAAGTCTCGGATGGTTAACCTCTCTCTCAGTTTGCAAGTGAGTGGAACGGAACGATAGTGGAAAAAAACAATAACATTATCAAAATGCTACAACATCAATGTTGCATGGCGGTTGGCATACCACCACGGTTGCCGCTTCATTTTTTCTTCCTTAAGCATTTTTTTATTTGTACATATTAACTGAATCAGTGTTTACGCTGTTGAACCAAGATGACATAATATGATTATGGGTCTTGATTTGAGTTGTAATTGCATACGAAGCGTGCAGAGAGCAAGAGCAGTAATACACAACGCATCTACATATATTGAGATGCATGCACGCTTAGAGCGATTGATTCAAAGATGAAGATCGACAATAACGATGACGACGACGACGATGATAATGATAAAGAAGAAGTAGTGGTGTACGTCATTACCAACAGTCATTCAAAAGCCGCCGTTGTTCTATAGATTCATCGATATCAGCAGAGCATTTTGCCACTTTAAGATAATTAGGGCTTTTCGCAATCAAGCGGCAAAGCTACACGTACAACGCATTACTTCGAATACTATTCTTTCGGTTCTTGCAGTCGGCTGTCTCTTTCACTGCCACTATATATCAAACAGATCGATTTGAAAAGCATTTACGCCGTTTTCTACATTTGTAAATGTTGATTTGTCAGTCAGCTGACTGAAAAATATACGTATCGATTGAAATGAAGTGTGTATGAGTGAATGAAAAACCGAGACAGTCGATTGCTTTTATACACAATCATGTCAGCGTCGACAGTTGTGATTGTAAACAACATGTTGCTACTATTTAAATCGTTGTGTATGGCATATTTTTTTTTTGTTCACTCTCTCGTCTTCTGTTGCTTTAATTCGAAATATGAGTACCAACAAATTCAGAAAGCACACACAAAAAAAAGATTGTAAGAAAAAGCTGTTATGTAAAAATCCAATTGACATAAAAAAAAATTGTAATAACCTTGCTATGCGAGACTATGAGCATTGTGTGACGTCACATGCCACTTACTGGTGGTACTATGTACTCGGTGTGTGAGAGAGTGAATGTATGTGACGTCGGTGCCATTTGGAACCAAAAATGTTTCCCATTTCGAGTTGTACGATAACCACTGCTTCTGTTCATTGAATTATAAATGTATATGGTTTCTTTGTCTTTATTTGTGCATAAAGTAAAGCTTTTTCTAAATTTAGCCATCCAAATACAAATGAACATTTATTCTGCTTATTTTGTTTATTTCCAAATGTTTTGTTGTTCGCCATTTTGTGTATGTGTGGCGAAAAAGAACAGTTTATTTGTTGTAAACAATAAACCGGAAAAATACCGACAACCAAGCACATTTTGATCGAATAAACAACAATTAAATCGATAGCTCGTTTTTTGCTGCATTTGCTATAAATACGGGGCTGCAAACAAATAAAAACAACTCAGGCTATCAGTTTTCTTAGCATGGAAACAATGGCAATCCCCAGGAAGATATAGAAATATAGAAAATATGCGACGCATGTCAGCGCATTTATGAGTGGCGTGAATCTGATCTGAAAAAATGAAAGTCCAACAAAAGCTGATTCACATTACCGATAACTCTATTGATTACATTTTAATCACAAACTTTTTGTACCATAAAACTCATTTGAATGACTTTTGATTGCGAACAAAAAAATCATGATGACTTTGTGCTCACCAACGCACACTCAGTTGATTTAAGCGGGGATGTTAAAAATGTGTCATTTAAGTGGCTTCATGATTGACGTCGACATTACGCTAACAGCTGTGCCCAAAAATTTTAAGCGATATGGTTTTTATGACCGTTTTCTTTTGATAAATAATTCATTAAAGAATTGGTGTGTGTAGCGTAAGTGCGTAACACACACACCATTCCTATTTCAATTAATTGCCATACAAGTTGTCACTTGTCGTTTTTGTTATCATTCCTTTGTAAAAACGTATTTTTTTTTATCATGCTCCCATTGTGTGGTAGCTTTTGAGAGGTCAATTGACACATGAATTTCAATTGCGTCATCCTCTCAAATTTATTTAAAAAAAAGTCATTGAACACGTGATATCTCAAATCAAGAATCATATACACGCGCCTTGAATTCAGAGTATATGATTTGTTCGGTCGAAATCAAATGAAATTGTGTGTCCAATTTTGTCGAGTTTTGGTTGTTTTGTTGAAACAATACTTAAAAACACCCAAAAAATGACATAATAAATTTGTGTAGAAATATTTGAAATTATCAATCTAAATGACATTTTCAGTAAAACGGAAAGACACTAAAAATAAATCGAAACGATTAAAACCGAGAAAAAAAAACAAAACAAATCGCCTCTCAGTGAATGTGTGTAATCAACAGCAAACGGAAACTCAATTGTTTCTCTTTGTGCTGCAATCATTAAAATTGTGTGTTGTTTAAAACCGCGCGCACATTTATGATAACCATAAATATAAATGGGTTCTATTTCGGTTTGTTTAACCATTTACAACAATTGCACTTCCTACTAAATAACAATCTAGTACATCACATTGAATTTCATAACAGTGAATTGATGGCGTATCATCCATTCGTACTTTATGTACTCGATGAGTCAGAGCTTTTTGTTTTTTTTCTTCTTATTATTCTTATTCTCTCGTTCTCACTCTCTTAATTTTTTGCGATATCTATATATTTTTTCATTCTTTGTTTTGTTTTCATTCTTTCAAGTGGCTGATAGAGTTTCAACGCAAACGGCAAAGCGAATCGCTTCAATTAGATTAATGAATATTCAAACCATGGTGTAGATGAAATGGAAATGATTTTTCCCCTTTTATAGTAACGGTCGTTTGGTATTAAATAGGCGTTTAATAAAAAAGTACAGTAATTTGAGATGTTATGTATAAAATCACATACAATTTTTTGTTTTAGGGAGATGTGTTGTTCGCCCACTGAAACGCATGATGGATGGCCTATCAGTGTTCGTTTGAATCAATTCAGAATTGGAATTGCTTCGATGTTCATCGGTTTGAAAAATAAATGCTTTCTATATAATTCATTTCAAGTGTATGTGTGGGCACAATTTATTCGATGAGTGTTCTTTCACAATATCACTATGAACTCACGACATTTACCATTTAATTAATATATTATATAAAAAAAGCGGATAGATATAGAGAATATAAAATACAGTTACAAGTGATTCAAATGGACCCAAATCATGCACACACTGAACTTGATTCATCTGGGTGTGAGCTTGTATTCGAGGTTTTTTTTTCTTCTATGGATCATCGTACGAAAACGAGTGATTTGATTCAATAATTCCGAATATATAGCTTCTTTATATAAAATATAAAAAGTCAACAGAGTATCATCTGCTAACACTGCCAAATTCGCTCTCAATCGATACGGCTGGTAACACACGCTCACATTGCACGAATATTTGTATTCGGTTGAATGACATTAA